TTCTCACAACTTCTTTACTGTGAATGACGAGACAAAACTAAATTTCCAAAAACTTTTTCAAAATTTAATTTTTGGGCAAACGCCTTTCCTGAAAAAAAAATGTGTGTGTAAATGTTTGAAAAAAATCGCGTTATAACTTTGCTGTCAGTTAAATTCTAGCCATGCTATAAAGAGATAATACATATGCAGATAGGCGATCTTTCTTGTAAAATTAAAATATTTAGTGTGAAAATCAAAGAAGCTCACAATTTGCTAAATAAACATATAATGCAAAATTAATGTATTTTATCATATCATTTTGAAAAAATTCCTGAAAATCGCGTTGTAGAAGCACCGCGCTATAATAAATTTTCGGCATTTTGCGACCCACATTTTAGCGAAATCGCTTTATAAAAGTACCGTGTTATAGGAAGGTTACCTGTATAAGACTTTTTCATACCAAATTTTTAACTAATTAACATAACAATATGTTTTGCTTATAATATATTTTCAAAAAATTCTGAAAAAATTCTATTGTAACTTCCGAGAGTTCGTTTGAGATAACTCTGTTAATGATATAACAGCCTACTATTACAGTTGCTGGTTCATGCTTTTGCTAGTTATGTGTATGTGATTGAATACAACGTCACACCTTTACTTTCAAATTCCATCTCGAATAAAGTGTCGTCTTCTAAGTTTACCAGTTAAAGAATCGGTATGTGGGTATAATCGTTGCAATCGAAACACTGTTCGAACAAACAATAATTAACCTATTCATACCTGTGTCGATTGGTAGGACTAATATCTATTGATAATAGCGACGAAAATATAACTATACATAAATATAGTTTAACTTCAATTAACTTCAATTCTTAGACATTCACTATGGCTATGATACGAACTTTAGTCCGTTTGTGGATTTTTCTTGTTCGCCTTCACTTGAATCATTCTTAATTTCGGGAAACAAAGGAAAGTCAAACGTGAGCACATTGTTTGATATGGTTGTTTGCGGTTTTAGTCAAAAACTCTTGCAGAATTTTCTACCTGCCGAATATTATTACCCTTTAAATGGACGATGGAATTACACTGTACTCATAAATAATGCTCGCAGCGATTTTGGGATTTGCACCGATAATGATCTACTTCATGTTGCCGTGGGATACTGCACTCTAACTGTAAGGCAAAGGAGGATAAGCAGAAAACGAAAAACCGAGATTGACGAGAAAGTATTCTTCCTAGAGTGCGCCAACCGGAATAATATGACGTCGCGCCGAGTACGTTACAAAAGCACTGGTCTGAACAGACGTCATGACAATGACAATTACATCTTAACAGTTCAACAATGAAGCGAAATTTGAGAAATGAACAGAAGCAGACACCATTAAACACCCTACGCCATTTCGTTTAGTACAGTTATTCATATAACGACCTTACAAAGTAAGACGTTCTACGGGAAATGATCAAAGGAAGTGACTTGATTCGAATCATTTTCAATATTGTTCGTGTTTGGGCCGAAACATATCGCTGAATCAAATTTCATCAAAGCATTTCAAAAATCGCGATTTTTAGATTGAATATAGGAACATCAAAGATGCAGTTGGACAGACGGACGGATAAATAATTTTAGAACTAATAAAAGAAGAGTCTGCCTGACATCCTTGCACGTATTGCAACTTAACGCACAAAACTTAATACATCCTTGCTACACAAGTGGTATAGGACATGACAATAGACGGAGATGGCTTCCCTATTGCAGATTAATTGTTTATTTTCTGTCCATATGTACGCGTGCATCTACAGTTTGTTTTGCTAAGATATTCTTGTGAATCACATAATATCGATGCCTTTCAATTACGCGCTAATGCGGTTTAGCATACCATATAAAAAAACTTTTAAAAACATTCCTTCGCTTTTCTACACTCAACTCAAATGTTGTCTTAACTCTTGCAGAAGACGTTCATGTATTTCATTTGCTTTTCTTTCGTCTGCGATGGCAATGCATATGTTTTCCTTATATACTACTTTTAATGGCTGCCTCCTGTGACTCTACAAAATATGTTAATAGCTCACGGCATACTAACACTTAAAAGGAATGTTCTTTTCTTTAAGATAATTACGCAACTTTAATGATTTTCTTATAGCATTTCGCCAGAAATGTTATCATAAGAAAGTTTTTATATTGATTTTCTTGCAAAACTATATTCATCGAGAAGAGAAACATTCCAATGCAAGTAAAGTTTGAGTCGATTGGTTATATTTAAAAAGCATTTCTAAGAAAAATTCACTTCAAAATGATTTCCATCAGCCATTCAGCCAGCCAACCATCAGGCAAAGCAATATCCTATTAAATGTTGTGTGTTGTTTTTTTTTGTATATGTATAGGCTTTGCCCCACTCATTCAGAGAATAATATTAACATATTCATAAATATTTCCTCATGGAATACTTTTACAATTAACTTAATTATATTCCCTTTAATGAATTACTTACAGTATTTTCGAACGAGCATCTTAAAACTATAGCGGGCCGCGTCGTGTCGTTAAATGCCGTATATCGTTTCGTTATCCGCATAACTATTTTTCAAAAAGAGACATTGTAGGGGATATGATCGAAAAAGTGATCCGATCCGGTCTTCGGGTCAAAGATCATACCAAATAGTAAATTTCATCGAAATATCTCAAAAATTGTGACATGTTGATTGAATGCAAAGCGGACAGAGGGTCGGTCAGCCAAATTTAAATCGACTGACTCTGAAACCGTATAACAAAGGCTGCGACTATTTGAAGGCATTCTAGGTGCGATACAAATTTTTACCCTTATCACACATGTAGCGTATGGTATGAGAAAATGCAAACGATTATGTTTTCATATCATTTACTTTATTTAATTTTCGCAAGTAACACTTGATACGGACAAAAGGAAATTCATAATAAATGCCATCATAATTAATTGCGTTATATAACAAATAGTCAGTTGATTGTAAGAAAAAGGATGAAAAACATGCCAGTCTCTGTCTCTCGCTTCTGCTCTTTTACTTGATTTCTCTTTTCTTCATAACAATTTTAACGAAATTTTTGACCGAAATATCTTTAAATAACTTGTAATTAAAGACAATCGAAAATGAAAGCCAAAAAAAAAGGACAATTAAAATTATTTGCAATTTCTCTTTTTCATTTCCTCAACTCAATCCATGTTTCCATTACACAATTATCGCAATTACTTAATATAATCAACGCGTGATTTATTTCTTTGTTTTTTGCTCATTTTGCAGTTTGTTCCAAACGTCGAAACGATTTTGATAAGATTTCTCACAAACATATTGATGATCCTTCGCTAAACGGTTTAGTGACTCGCATGAAATACAATACGCATTATCTTGTATGCTTTAGTTTCAAGTTTTACGAGATTCTATTTTATTTTTCAAACAGCTTTCTCAACCCGATTGCAGTTCATAAAGTTACTATTACTTTACTAATTATGGCTGGTTAGGAAACGACACAACGTGAATGTCTGAATGCTTTACGTGCTGTAGTTTGCTACTTTTCTCAAAGGAACGTATGAATCAGAAGTTTGATAAATAGATTCTTCTATCACTTAATAAAAGTGATTTTTCGTTGCCGGTACATTAACACAAAGGCTAGCCAAGCTACCAACGCTTTTGTAGATCCCTATAGGCGATTTCAGTTTATGACAATATGCTTCTCTTTATTGCGCTATCGTATAGACCATATTTCCAGCGAATAGAGATAATATCACATCCTGCTTTGCATCAAACAAAAACACTACTACCTGATTCTCTCTCTAATAAAATTTGTTTAAACAAAAATTTTAAATATGATAAGCTTTCACTTCATATAATTTCAATATATTTAAATGCGCCGAGTTTCGGAGTTCAGACTCTCAGGTGACCTGGAAACGACTTTGCATAAAATTTCTCTTACCTTATACTTCCAAGAATGTCACATTCGGATTATAAAGTTTGCTAAACACTGTAAAACTGTTAAGGGGAAAGTAACATTTTCTCATTTTTTTTTTCCTTAAAAGTAAGGTGCCAGACATAAGCACCGGCGCTATTTTACCAGAGACATCTTCGTGGATACAACCAAACTATTTTTACCATGTCTCTGTGATATTTTTACTTGTTTTAGTATACGAATATAAGTGACATCCGATTAAAATATTCCTATGTTTAACCTCGAGTGGTAGAAATTACATATACTTGAACACCATCGTCAGTGTTGCACATATAATTTATATTACCGACTATCGAAAGCCAAAATATATTTGTGATGATAAGATGATAAAAGAGATGATTGACTGCTACCTAAAAATATTTTATGCACGACACAATCGAATTAGTCAATACCTGGAATGGCCCATGCTCTACTGGCCTGGATTGAGGCATTTAAGCATATTTATCAATCAACGATACCTCTCGTAGTAAACTCAAAAACTGCTGGTTTTCGGAATGACCCAACTGCTCAAATTGTTATCGGCTGAGGCCATGAAGTTCACTAATCGCCCTTCTTATCCCTTCAAATTCAAAAAAAAAAAAAAAAAACGAAGAACTTACCAATAGAAAGTCTCTATTAATAATAATAATAATGCCTTAATACTGAATATGTCAGTAAGGTATGAGAAGGATAGAAAGTTTCATTGTCATAAAGACGAAGATCGAAGATACCAGGCTTCATAGATTACATTTTGGCAGCGGAAATGGGTAATGAGAAAGGTATAAAATACGAAATTTCGTTGTTAATGGTTCGATATGATCGGGATTACTTGCGTTCAACTAGCCGGGGTGACGTTATGTTAGTAAATCAAGACAACAGAGAAAGTTCATCATTCTTCCTTCTATACAAATCGCTGAAACCTTACATATTCAATATGATGATCAGTCATCAATGTTCGGTATGTATGAAGACAAGCATAAAAATTCTTTTTGAAACGATAGTCCATATATAATTTTCTATTCAATAACAACGTGAATGCGTAAAAAAAAATCTTTTAAACATAGGAAAATCAATCTTCTTCTGTAGTAGGAATAATAGGTTGCCATTTGTTAGGATTTACATAAATATTGGAAATGGTGCCACGTAGCGTAAATATACCACGATTTAATGGGACCGGTTTAGGTTTTTTTGCCGCATCAGACGACCATCTCTCCCAAGCGCCAGCAGCAATATTTCGGCGTTGTTCTTCCAATTCTCGGCGTTTCTGTTCCTCTTGGCGTTTGGCAGCTCTACGGCGTTCTTCTTGCACGCGTTTCTTTCTATCCCATTCAATTAAACGGGCTTTAGTTTCCTCTTCGCTCAATTGAGAACGCGTCGGTCTTTCTAACAAATCTGTATTCGCTGATGTCGATTTAATTGTTAAATTTGAACTAATTTGTTGCATTGATGGCTCCTGTGCTAGATGAGTTGTTTTTGGTTGGCAAGCTTTTTTTTTTAACCAATTTTTAAATTTTTCATCGGCCAAACGCTTACGATCTTCTAATTCTTGACGCTTTTGTTGTTCGGCTTTTTTACGTCTGGCAGCCTCATCCGATAGCAACTTTCTAAATGAAGTATTCCTTTAAATATATATTTTATTAAAATGTCATCTACATGCAACGCTTACCTTTTGGCAGAAAGCCAAGTCTCGTAGGCCTTTTCCGGTTTCAAAACAATCTTGGCCGCTTCGCAATGTTTGCGGTAGGAAAACGTATAATCCCGTGTTGTTGGATAATTTTCTTCCGACTGCAAATCCAACGGCGGCACAATATCGCTTTCAGTTTCGGAAACTGATGGGCACTTACTATCTATGCTACCTTGACCAGCATCAGGTGATCTTTCCATTTCACCATCTTTCTCTATGTAAGCGGCCGGATTAATATATCTAATGGAATGAGAAAAATTTGCATATATTGTGCATTTGCAATGGCCTTGATAATCGAATGTGTTAAGTATACTTACAGTACACCAGCTTTTCTATCACAACTGCGTGAACTTAAATTTAATCTCGTAGTGCTTTCACTTATTGATGAAGCTAAACTCCGTGCCGTTGGCCGTCTCTCCAATTCGTTACCATCGTCATCCACTCTTGAAGTATAGAAAGCCATATCTCTTTCCTTTTTTTCGTGCCTTATTTCTTTCCAACCCTCCTAGTTTTTTTTGCTTTTCGGTTTTTCTTTCAGTTAAATTTTTATGTAAAATTCGATTAAAAAAATATATATATAGGCGAGTTATATTATTTCGAACGGTGTAAACGATTGAAACAAATTTTGATGAATATTTTCCGCTTTTTTTTTTTGTTTTTTCTTTATCTATTTGTACGAGGAGTCGGAATATATAAGGACGGACAAGCGTTATGAAATGATTGGTAACAAAATTTTTAACGCTTCGAGTTGGAAAAAAAAACTGACAAAAACAGAGAAAAATTATTGAATTTTAGAAATAATTTTGCTTTCTGCAAAAGTCTATGTAATCTACGATGAGTTTATAATTTTAAAAATGACAGTATTTGGGCAAAGATAAGGGTACAGTAGATTATTTAGACAACGTTTTCGAAATTGGAATATACGTTCGTGATTTAGGTTTTCATATCGTTACACCCTAAACCACTTTTGGTAGAGGGTATATTAAGTAAGTGCAGACATATGTAACACAAAGAAGGGCTTACGATAGACCCACGTTTTATTGTACCGATCGATTCAAAATCATAATCTGAATTGATTGAAACCTGTCTGTCCGCCTGTCTCTCTGCCTGTCAAAGTTAGATTATTTTCAAGTTACAGGTCGCAATTCTTGAGACATCGTGTGATGTGCTTCGACGCAAGAGCAAACACTATTGAAAATAGTTCGGATCAATTCACTTTTTCGACCTCACCTTATATTACTGTCTGCTCTGAACAGCATTATAAGAAAAAAATCGCAATTTTCACAATATCTCGACAAAAACGGTCAAGAAATAGTATTGCGGCTTTCCAAATTTGTGTGGAAACTTTGGGAGGGCTTGGCCCCTTCGCATATAATCGACCGATTAAAGTGAATCTTTATGTCGTGAAAAAGTCAAATTTTTAATACTTCATAGTGAAAATTGTCTCAGAATAGTACATTGAGAAAGAAATCGGTCTTATCGAATTTAGACCTTTTATGTCTATCGTAGTAATTCCAAGTTTAAGTTTTCTACTTCATTGTTTGGATGTTAGCGTAGGTGACTTCCAAAACCGTGCTATAGTAACTCTCGTGAATGTCGCAAAGGGATAACTTCTTAACGGATAGAAGTCGGAGCACCATCTACTTAATTTATACGCTATTACATTCTGTTGAAACATCAGGTTGCAAAAATTAAAAAAATTAAAAAATTAATCACCCGAGTGACACACACGCGATGAAACACATATCTTTTTGGCAGGGTGTGGCAGTTGAGCACGTCGAACCCATCCGAAAAATCATTTTCATTGTACTCCTAAAGTGCCTGTCATTGAAAATAATTGTAGAGCGGGCAATCTTAAAAACATTTCAGCCTGTTCCCACGTTTCAGCATATGCGACATGCTGAGATCTTGATACTCTTCACTTTACCAAAAGACTTTGAATCTACTCCAAGTAAGAACTGCAGAGTCCAATATGACTATAGCGTTTTTCCAGTCTTTCTATTTCTTTCTGTAATTTCTAAAGGATTAAGTAACGGACTTGAATTGATCGACATGTCCTTCTGAAGTCTCGTCTTCGAAAATGTTTTGGTTTGGTAAGGTCTAGCAAAAGAAATTAAATCTTATGTAAAATCCAAAGAGTTTCAATTAATTTCATAGGTTCGATAGAAGAGATGTAACCGTTCCTTTCTTATCCGTGTCAACAGCACTAGTTACAACCACATGTGAACTGAGCCATTGTTTCATGAGGAATATGGCAGATTATGCCGTCGGCTAAAAATAAACCTCATCTGCGTCAATAGTCTTAGCTTTAGAACAAAAAAGTCAGCCAACATATTTCTGTAACGCAATCCATTCATTGTAAAAATGGAACCAGTGGCGTTTTCGAAACTGTATGATCTAATTGGACTACCAGCCCAAAATTCATATCAAACCATCACACCTTGAAGTGGCAAAAATTTTCGGATTTTTTTCATTGCGATTTCGGAGAATCGTGTTTCACTTAGAACGATTATATATTGACAGTCCAAACGCGAGAAACGCGGGAAACCTAACTTCTAAAACCGCAAGTTCTTGTTAAAATATATTTTGCATATATTTAGCAAATGATTTTTCAGTATCCTGGACAGTGCTCTATAATGCACCTCCATATTGGTAAATTTGTATCCGCACTTGATTCCTAAAACGCTGGTCGAAAGAATTCCAAGATCCCATCGTTGGTAAGACGCACATTTGTACAGGCCTGTATTGGATGGTCTTCGTCCTATCGTTGTCGCGTAGACACTATTAAATCAGTTCAACATTCCACTTCTTACTATTTGCGTTAAGGAGTTTGCCGTCGGTCCCTCAAATTTTATTGCCATCTTATGATAGCAAATTACTACTAATAGCTTTGCTTTCATTGAACCAGTGCAGGTTCGTTTTAAGCATCAGCTTTTTAGTTTAATAAGTGACATAATAGGCTCAACAGCCCTTTTAACTAACATTGACTTCAATGCTCCGATCCGTCTTAGACTTTAGGCCCATAAAACTTAATCAATGCAGTTCAAACTACGAATTGCTCAATCCACTTCAACTTTGAACGATATCTATTACCTTATCGCGTCTTCTTACTCATTGCCTTGCATCCCGATGCTAATCCATCTGTAACTTTCGTTGATGTCATTCCTCTTGTAAAATAATTTACCTAATATAAATCGTGAACAGGTAGCCTGCTACATATGTAAGCCTAAAAAATAGCACAACTCATTCTAATATTCATAATTTAGCTGAAGTACAAGAACTGTAGCTGACTTGAAACGAAATAAATAAATAATTGATACTACCCTACTTTTCTGCAGATCAGCTAAATAAATTCTTCAATTAAAATGCACTCCGTCTTCTCCATCTTTCTGGATTTTTCATTTTCCATATATTTTTCTAAGAACACTGAATATTAACGAAGAGCGCAATGACAATGGGACGATTTGTATCGGGAATATAATTAATGTAGCGGAAGTATTCGAAAATGATCGGATCACCTACGAATTATTTTACTTATTGCTTGGCCATCAATGAATAAAATATGCTGCGTGGTTCTATTACATAAGCTCTCAACTGCAGTTTGACCAGAGACAAAGTAACAGGGCAAACCTGTTCTTACAAATTCTTGTATATACAAAAAAAATAACCTTATGTCCACCCAAAGTTGAAATATTTTATGTTTGGGTGGGCGCAAATGTACATCCTCAACAAGTCCTTAAAACATGATAAAAAAACTCGGCCGAGTAAATAAGAGAATTATGATAAACTTTCGATCCTTTGGCGAAGACTTCTTCTGCATTCGAAGTTCCCTGTTACTACACAACTAAAGGTAGTGATAGGCTACGTTTTGATCTGTAATCATCAGTCCGTGTTGTTCAAGGATAACTCGCAATCTTGTGTTCCTCTAACACTCGTACTTCATTAAATGAAAAGCTTGTCTGCCGCCCTTTCCGGGATGATTACTGTCACAACTAAAGTATTCACAGTTACGCGCTTCTAGAAATAAAACAGCATTTCAATGATAAATAAAAGTTTATTGTCCATAAATGTAAACGAACTAAACATTTCTTTAAATATTAAAATTTGTGATTTTCCTTAACCGAACATTAAACATACACAAAAGATTTGAAAGAGCGTGAAGAAACTAATATTTATTCCGTATAATGTTTGCCTTCCACTACTTAATTAAAATTGAAATTTCTGCTAAGAATTGCAGCTCCTCCCATATGGTGTTCATTTGCTAACATTTGGTGCATTACCCACTCATTACTATGGATATTAAAGCGTTCTATACTTCTATCGCCGAATAAGTAAATGTCTTTTGCGGCTATTACGGTCGAAAACTCATACTTGTTTACCAATACGCGAGGCATCGGTTCCCATCTATTCACTCGTACGTCGAGCCGTTTGCAATCAACGTTTCCAATCGCAAACAATGTTCGATCATATGAGACGAGTCCGAATAGATCAGATGTTCGTGGCATCTCATTTAAATTAAACCACTTTCCATCTCTCGGATCAAAACGAAGAAGTGCATTATTGTCCTTAGATCCTTGAGTCAAACTGTAAATATTATTTTCTGCCACTGTTGCCCGATTATGGCTATTGGTTGTTACAGGAATATTCTGACACAAGTGCCATTTGTTAGTTGCAGGATCATAGCTCTCTACTGTGGATGTTTGATATCCACCAACAACATAAATTAGATGATTGTACGTGCAAATGCCAAAACCATGTCGAGTATTATTCATTGGTGCAATGTAACTCCATCGCTTACTGGCAGGATCATAACATTCTGCCGTCTTTAAAGCACCCCTATTAAATCCACCCATTGAAAAAACTTTGCCGTTTAAAAACACGGCAGAATTATCGCATCTACCCTCATTCATACTTGAGATAGAAACCAGTTTCTTTTTGGAAATATCGTAGACTTTGCATTCTTTTATGCCTCCGATAAGGTCCCGTGTGCCGCCGCCGAGAAATACATAAAAGTTTTCGTTGCGTTGTTCGAAATCTGTCTGTCGCCTCTCGTTTCGTTCACTTGCTTTTGTTAATTGATAAGTTAAGGCTTCCATTACGAATTTATAGCAGTTTTGATTTTCTATAAGCAGAGGTTCAGCAACAATGTGGTTTGTCAAGAACTCTGTGCCGACAAGAGGTAAACATATCTGACTCATAAACTCAGCGAGATGAACTTTTCTCTTCTCTAGGTCGTGCTTGACCCAATTTATTGCGGCCTTATAAGCAATATCTTCAGGTTTGACTAAGTGTTGCATGTCCTTTATCAATTCCTTGATCTGAAAACGACGTTTTTGAAATTTACGAGTTAAGCTGATATCAAATTAAAGAAAGAGTTGCATTGTAAAAATTTGTCTATAGAATGCAGATTGAAATTTTAAAGTCCTTCTCAAATGTGAGGTTTAGGCCACAAAAGTGTCATCGTCTAACGATGGGGACAAAGTTCTAATTTTAACCCCGCTTTGTGTTTCCCTACCCAACTCGTTTAAAATGCAGTTTATCATGCACTCTTTAAAATCTATTACAATGAATTTTTCGCGTCACACTGGGTATGTTATGAAATGGTGTACATATCCATTTTCGAATCCTACATACTTTGAAAAAATGTTATTTGAAGTTAAAGATGGGTTCATATTGGCTTTGCTTTACATTCGCTGCAAAGTAGAACAAGAAGAAACCCGTAGTTCTAAGGGACCCTCTAAATACTCAGTAAGTTGTCATAATTGTAATCTTCTCTTCTGCTAACGTGCAACGGGTTCTCAGTCGTTCTGTTAAGCTGAGTAATAAACGAGAAAAGACGTTAATAGGAAACTAATTTTTTTACGCCAAAGGGCTTCGAGAGAGCTAGAGAAAAAGGAAGAAAAAGAGAAAGTTTTGTGCAACATTGCGATGGAATCCGTTGTTAAGGAAATTATTGCAGCGCGCAATGGATCTAATTGTTACATAATTCACATTGCCTGAAAGGTGAACTCATCCAAACTGATGAACTCAACAAACGCCAGGAGAACACGTGACTCCTCACTTATAGGATAAAAATAGCATGGAACTGTCAAATGACTGTAAAACACGTTGAGAAGACGAGGGTCACGGTGTGTTGCCTTGATATACATATCCTCCGCTCTTAATTGGAAGCAGTAAGTAGTGCAAAAACCCAGAAAAACTCAAGTGACAAAAGGCGCTTCTATTCCCAGCCGCATATACATAAAAGTTTGTTTGGATCAGAGAGATACTACGGTGGATGGACAGAGAGTAACAATCAGTTGATTGCTTTTATAAATTATTGTTAAACAATAAGGAAAATATTTTTCTGGAAAAACCTAGAACAAGTCATGTGTCAACACCTTCCTCTCCGACACACAATTGCACACATTTTATGTGTGGAAAGAGAATCGGCCTAACGGGATTGGGAAGTAATCACAATACGATGGAAAAATCATCAGAGAAACAACGAAAATGTTCACACTTCTTGAGTGCACTTATGGGTAGAGCTTGGATTAAAACCGGGGACGTGATCATTACTTAAATAAACAGAGATGTCGGATTACGTAGACCAGCATATGATCAAAAACATATTTCAATAGATAATTTTGGGTAAACAGCTCGAAAAGAGGATGAAGTGGCTCTAATCGCAAGCATACGTTCACAATCGGAAACACATCCACGCCAAATTCCGTGAAACTGTGATTAAGAGAATGTCTTTCTTCCATCCTTTCAATGCATAGTGAAATATTTTTGCACATATAACTTAATCACATTCCGATTTCAGGCATTCAACTCTACAACACATATAGACTAACGCTAACTTAAGAATCCTCTCCAATAATTCCTTTTCCTAAACTTGATTTTTAATTTTTTATTCTTATCAACACGAAGGACGTTGAAGCAAATCATTTCAAAGTAATAGTGTTTAAAGTAGATCCTCGCACCTATACTTTAATGCAACATTAAAGACCGAATTTTTCTTTCACATAACAACACTAATTGCACTCGTTTGCTGGACAACTTTTATGACTGGATTCTTTAAATACCTCTTCAAAAGACAATAATAGCAGATCTTCTTCGGCAATTAGGTCATCAAGATGATCTAAAATATATTTTTGGCTGATGTTCTGCAGTTCTTTGCAAGAATGCATTTCTGAAAGAGAATAAAAACTTTTTAGTTGAGCCATATCTGCGACAATTCCGTTATACTCTTACCAGCAAGTTTTCGCACTCGAAAACAATTTTTTTGGTTTAGGCTGTTTTTGAGAAATTGGATACATTCCTCTTTCACCCAAGCGATCTGAAATAAGTCAGATGCACACAATACCGCTTCGACGTTAGCTTCTGTAAGCGTGATGATCCCGCTGTAGATATACTCAACCAGTGCCTTAACGGCATCTACATCCACATCCTGTAACTTGACAGTCCCTTCCTTCCTCTCCTTCATATCAGCTATAAAAGCAAATATTCAAAGATTTTACTTAAGCCCGATTTGACAGTTTCCGGGAATCACTTACCTTCAAACATCGCGGCGAAGTAATCAGAAGCAATCGCGAGTGTAAGTTTGTGCACGTGGATTAGTTCACCGTCTATATCCAAAGAAAAATCAAGGAACTGTAGAAAAGAGTAATGAAGTGTTAGCATTAACGAGCGCTAGATTAGATAGTACTCCGCTTACCTTTTGATTCATACGCATTTTGGTTAAACCGTTAAGGAAGGTGTTCCCATAATCGGAATTCTTGCATTTTTTCTCGGAGACGCGTTCCACTTGATTCACAATTTTAGCGGCCATACCTTTGGATAAATACTTAAAGGGATTACAAAAATAAAAATTGTTTAGAATCGAAGCTTTTAAGATATTGTAAGCATAAGGCGGATATTCATTTCAATGTTTAAATGCAGAAGTTAATAGACTTATGCAAGTTCATTACGATTTGTTTTTCGTCATCATGACCCGCATTTAGATTAACATTTAATATTCAGCAGAAGTTGATGGGCGCGAAATCAGAGTTGTTAAGTTCCCCACACTACCAAGATAGATGTTTCGTAGTGGACCAATACTCTATAAATGCCTTCGAAAGTATGTTTTTATGCACTAATAGTTTTGGTTCACTTCAACCGAGTTGTGAACTCAACAAAAAGGCGAAAATTAAATGATATCTAAAGAATTTCATTATGGGCGCTGTTCGTGATCTTTTCAGGTGATTTTTCAGAAATTCTGCACTCGCGCTTTTCGTCTTGCGAAGCTACTACTAAAGCTTGTTATGGATTCCCTTTGAAAACAAAACGTTCGGCTAAAGACAAACATCGCTTGCTATTATAAAAAGCAGAAAAGTGATAATCAAGTAAATCGCAAAATATGGTCAACGCCATTATTGCCAGTTTTTAAATATTCCGCATCCAAGCCGCAAGGTCATTGACTTTCTATTTTAGCGCCTTATTGATCATGTTATTATGTGACTGAAAAAGGACACTTATAATCCTTGGCTTTCGATACAAAAGTGTTCGTATCGTGAGTCTATGGATTAAACGCTACATATGCGATGTATGTGATCTTTAACTCACTGGAATTTCGCGAATACTTTTTAAACTTTGTTATAGAAGCCACATGTCCTTTCAAACTATTTCGACTGGATTTCCATTTAAATAAACATAAAATTATATCAGTTTTCTCATATGCACCTCTGAAGTTCCTCTGATTATATTAAAACTCGATTATGAGAAATGAATGAAATGATTATGATGTGAAATGAAGTCAATGATTGCTTAAGAGTCGTTTAAGTAAAGAGGTGTGACATAGAGAGAAAATATATATATATATATATATATATATATATATATATTCCGTTATATATATATATATATTCCGCTATATTCCGAATATATATATATATATATATTCCGTTTTTCAATTAACTTAATATAAAAGAAAAGAAGAAAGACATTCGAATCTATGCTATGAACATTTCTTGTCAGAATGGTTCCGCAAGAATGTACAATTACATACTTTCCCGCTTCTAAATCCCTTCGAATGAATTGGACGAACCTATTTCTTGCTCACTAATCTACTCCGAACAGAGTTTACATCAATTTTCTGATTAGAGCTTAGGTTTTCCAATTAGAGCGAAGAACAATACTTGGAATAACATATCTCTCACTATCATCGCTTACTCTACAATGACGCTGCTTTTTTGAAGATCTATGAGTAAAAGGTGAACTTATAGAGTCCACTTAAATCAACAAGACGAAGCCGTTGTCTCATCGAGTCTGAGTCCATAGCAAAATTTGAAAAGTGTGGAGCAATTTGGCCTTGGAGATGACTTTCGATTCCCAACCACACGGCACCAAATGTGAATTAGTGGTTGTTGTACAGTACGAAGCATCAGCTTAATTCGCCTTTTCAATCGCCAGACCTAAACCCCATAGATACAATAACGTCCAAGGAAATGCTTAAAAATGTTATTATGAAGGGCTGGGCCAAAATAAGCGGGGAAGAAACCACTAAACTGGTAAAATCAGTACCTGGTCGATTATCCGAGGTCCTTAAACGTATCCCACTAACTACTAACCAAGTTTATAAGACTTAAATATATAGCATAAATCAAGAGTTATTTAAGGCGTACGCATACTTTTTCTGGTAATTTTTTTACTTAATTTTATTTGGTTTGTGTGTAAGCAAAGTATTATATAAAACATCTTTTTTTTATTAAAAACGAAAATACATCACCTAATCACCTAATAAATTCTCAACAAAAATTATCCCATCTTTGGTGTTTTTTATCTCATTGGTTTTGCGAAGTTTTCAGCTGCAAGGTGCAAGTGCACAAATACTTTTTCTTGCAAGTGTGTATGGATGGACGAATATAAATATATATACATCTTCTCTCTATCTCTCTTTTTTTAGAAGTATATTATTTATGCAATTAATATGTGTATATATTCAGTTGAGTTATGAAATACATTAAATAATGAAATAGAATTTAGAAAAAATGTATAGTGAAGGTGTTCTCGGTGCATTGTTTCTCCTTCGCTCTCCCAACCAGACAATCGAAATGCAAAAACACTGTCCGGAATCATTATTAACATTACAATCAACAATGTGCAATGGGTAGCTTCTGCTCCACGCGCTCATATAGTATGGTGGCCCACTTTTCTGAAAATTACGAACGGACTTTCTTGCATAAATCCATAAGCTTTGGGTATACGGACTTTAATTATACGGAAAGTGTTCATATAGCCCCCAAGCGATTATTCCTGAAAATCTCTTGAAAATATAATGTACTATAGAAAATCAAAATTAAGATAGGCATTAGTTTATTAATTTTTGTTGTTCCTTTTTGGTTGTTGTTAACTATTCCTTTTCAACAAAGTTCGTTGTTGCTTCTTACTTTTTGCTTTTTTAATATTTGATTTCGGTTTTCTATATACATGCAACTTCCAATACTCAAAACTCAGAGTAACCAATGCTAGTGTGAAACGTAAGCTCTCATGCTTTCGTATAATTTGGCGAATATGGGAGAGCGTATTTAACAGCTGTTTTGCCTACGTGATTCCAAAGAACCGATAGTCAAGCAATGCTCAATCCTATCAAATGTGCGATGCGAAATCAACCCACGTAAGCTAACCGTCACAAAAGAATGTCCGATTATTTCCGACAGTAAATCGCCTTTGCTAGCTCTACAGTCGTTCGCCATGAGTAGATCACATCCATGCTTATTAGAAATTAAATCTTTGTTATACAATCTAAAATCAAAAGCTTTCAATTTTTATTTTCTCTGGATAACCAGTCATATGGGCATCGCCGGTAACATTATTGCTGAGAAAATTGTATCTCAAAACTGTAAATCAACGTATAACGGTGTCCGCCCTTGACTTTCTTCCGACATGAAAGCATTTGATGAACAGTAAGACATTCGCAATTGGCAGCAGCGACAACTTTTTGTCGTCATTTATAATCTCTGGGTCCGCGTATAAATGTTAGACAATGGTTCAGCATTTTCACTCTCGGACCTATCCAGCCCCTTATGTTCATGTGATGCCCTACAATCTTCAGATCATCTCAGCTTTCTATGCCCGAATTTGGATTCACCTATTCACCCTGGAAACTCTCCTGGTTTGGACTTCCTAGCCTCTCCTTAAATACACTCTGCCCTCAAAACTTAGCGGCTTATTTAATAGTTTTTTTTGTGGCTATTAGGCATAATGGCATGGCCGATTTTTTCCATTTTTGTGCATATACAGTAGAGTTTTTCGTAAAGTGTGGAAGATTTTAGTCTTCTAACTTTTAAAAAGTTTGAGCAATGAGCAAAAACCCATCAATTTTCGTTTAGAAAAACGACGCTGCGTTCAGTCTACGCTTGACTGGGGACTATACTCGAACCAATTTGTTCCATTTTCAATATCAACCTTCGCGCAAAGACTTCTTAATTTTTGCGATCTGGAGAGTGTCAACACCAACCACACGGACAGAGCTGGCTTAATCGATTCAGAATTTCATGCTGATCAACGTTATATATGTATATGTTGAAGGGTCTCTGAAGCTTCCTTCTGAATGTTGCAAACATTATGACAAAAAACGTCATAAAAACTTTGAAGTAACTTTAGGTGAAACCGAGGCGATTTTCTAAATAAAACTTCACATTCGTAATATCGCCTTTGACAAAGAGAGAGGGAGAAAGAGAGGGAGAGAGAGCTAAGTACGACTTGTAATTGCACATGTCGCTACATGACTGAATTGTTGCTATTATTCGCAGGGATTTAAAGGTAATTGTAATACTTAATATATATATGGATTACAAATAAACAGACAAATTTAGTACGTCATTAGCGGTGGATCGGAGTATTTTAAGCTTCATTTATGAAGCACGCACTTGCATTCAATGCAACGGGCATGGTAAAGTTTATTTGTTTCTAAATACATTGGGATTTATTGACTTATGAAAAAGAAATTGTAATCACTTTTTCTTTCACCGACAATGCATTCACTTATAATTGCACTCTAAAGGCATCAAAACTCTCTTTGATTTCTATAGATCTCATTGTGTTTTCTTTTTTTTCAACAGCGATAGTTTTGCTCTTTGCTAATGATAGGTCAAGTGCAAGTTCAGTATTTCTCTCAATGAGAGCAAGATTTTTAAAGTTCGTCAACATACGCAATTATTATACAAACTAGGTAAGCAGTCTCAGTTCTTATTTGCAAAGAAAACTGGTGAGAGTAGAACGATTTCAATAATGTAATCATATAACAACGTTACGTTAGCAAAAATCCAATAAATCAAATAAAAATAATACAATGCATGTTAACATGAGCCATGCACGTGAAAACAACATGTGTATTCTTTTCTATTCTATACGAACTTTTTTTTTGCTTATTAGTCATTTTTTTAATGTTTCCATTACAACTTCAATGTACATATAGTTTTGATCCGATATAAAGAGTCTTCTTGGTTAATCTCAACAATTATTCTACAGAAAAATAGTTATTAAGTTATTGTAATGAACAAACTCTTCCATGCAAGGATTTTGAAATTAACGAATTAATTTGAATATTTTGGAAGTTATTACTAAATGTTGGATTAATTTTTGCATCAATTAAAAATTCCTTAAATAAAATTCGGCATTGTTTCACTAAAAACACATAACACGGTTTACAAACCTTAAATCTGATTTGAAGGACCAATGCTTAGGAGCGTTTGGAGTAGTAATAAGATGTGGTCACTTTCCAATTAATAATAAAATTTTTACTTATTTAGCTTTGAGAAATTTTGACTAACAATAGTTAATTTTTCAACTCTTTTCGTACTTTTTCTCAAATCAACACAAGAATTTTCTAATTAGTTCGAATGTCCGATTCTTCCAAAGGGAAAATTACGACTGACTCTATTAAAATTAAAATAGAGGCTTTAATACTCGCTCTCTTTCTCTCTCTCTCTCTCTCTCTCTCTCTCTCTCAGGTTTTTTGAGAGAGGATCGCTGAATGCAATGAATGAGTTATCTCATAAAAACAAGGAGGCAAGTATAAATATATGCATCAGTGGTAGTCCAACACACTTGAGATGCGAACAACAGTACAAACGAATAAACAAATCTAATATAATAATAGTAACATTTTAAGTTTCATTTATGAAGCATACCAAGGTATGACGAGGTTTATTTGTTTTTAATAGATCGTGATTTAGTGACCTATGTAAGAGGGTAGAAAGAAATTGTTGCCGGTTTTTCGCTCGTCGTCATTGCATTTAATATTTACACTTTGAAGAAAACAAAACTCTCTTTGATTTCTATAGATCTCATTGTGTTTCTCTTTTCATCAACAATAGTGTTCTTTACTAATAATAGATCAATGGCAAGCTCAGTAATTTCCAGAATGAGAGCAGGATTTTTAGAGTTGACCTCACAGGCACTTATTATATACTCTAGATAAACACTTATTTTTACTGAGAACTGGTAGAGGTGAGGAATGCTGTCGGATACTCTAACAGCACAATTAAGAGCGAAGAACAAAACAAAAATTTCAAAATTTGCTGTAGTGAATGCAAAAACTACTGCCCAATCGTCGTCTTTCGTTTATATTTAAGAGCTCAATCACCTTTCATGTGTGGGAAAAATGGATAACAAATGTGAAATAACTCTGTCGAGCCATTTAAGAACACGAGGAAAGACTAATAATGGAATAAAGAAAAAGGGAGAAGTTTAGGGAAAAAAATATATGATCCAAAAATATCCGTTATTTTTAGCAAAAAAATGAAGCATGGAAGTGATTAAATTAGATGCTAGGGAAAAATAATGGTTTGTGAGAAATCGGAATACTTCATCTATAGTGATCGGTAGTGTATGGTACTTGACAATGAATAAATGGTTTATCAATTCGTATAAAGAAAACGAGGAGGAAATGCAAAAGAAAACATCAGACATTTGTTCGATTTCATTATAGTCTCAAGCGTGCGCGAATTAAGCTTTCATGGTCAAATCAAACGGTCATGGTAACCAAACGGTGTTTGATATTAAAAGGAAAGCTCCTTAGTGGATAGAAGAAGTAATCCGCACAATGCGGAGTAGCGTGTGAGGTACATGCGTGTGCTTTGAGAGGCAAGAAATGAAATCTTTTAACAAAAAGAAGGAAAGCAGACATCTTTCGTGCAGATGAGAGCCTTTTGCTCGGGAAAGAAAGTCAGTTCGAAAGAGAAAATGTAAACAAATAAAGATCTTAACACTTCATCGAATACGTAGCAGTGTAAGGACACGCATTGGGTATGATCAAGCAGCAATCGTTATGATGAGGTTTCTATAGTCTCGGGCAATGTATGAGAATCGTATTTTATGAATTTAAGAAAATTTGACGAATGAACAAAAGTGTGCGTCAAAGTAAGTAAAACGCAAATCTTGCAGAATAAATTTATTTTATTGTTCCCTTGGATCCAGAGGATATAGACGAACTTTAATATCTAAATCAATCATAAACGCAACGAAGTGTATGCTGACGTTCGTGCACATATTCTGGTATATGATTAATGGTTGAGATCTAAGCACACGATATAAATGTACGTTAGAGGATAGCAAATAAGGAAACTTGAAAAGTTTCATTCAAGTTCATTCAATTGTGCAACGATATCTCATTTTTAAAATCCAAGCAATAACTGATGGCGAGAAACAGTTCATTATCTAGGTGAGTTTATTATTAGATTATTGTTAGGTTAGGTCTCGAAACTCATTTCATTCAATTGTGCAACGATATCTCATTTTTAAAATCCAAGCAATAACTGATGGCGAGAAACAGTTCATTATCTAGGTGAGTTTATTATTAGATTATTGTTCGGTTAGGTCTCGAAACTCATGAGCAACATCCGAATAAATGAAAAATAATTTTATGGATATTTTGTCCTTATCTCCTATCGATTATGGCGCTTTATGCATTCCATTGTGTTAAGAAGAAGAAAAACATCGGAGGGAGGACTCATTATGCAAAGAGGAAATTGCCCGTCGTCTGCGTAAATCTTTATATTAGTTCACTTAAAGTTTCACTAGCAAAGAGAGGAAACGTGTCGTCTAGTCCTGCTGCAGTCTTGTGGTGTATAAGAAAGACGCTACTTTGCACATAGCTAGGACAACTCAACGCTGCTTGAACGGATACCTTATCTTCTCGGGTGCGAGAGACAGCAACGGAAGCGGTACATCAAAAATTGTTAAATATCGGAGTTGTTGTTCCGTCTCTCTAGCTCATGTCATGGGTAAATATGCAAAATCTCTGGTGTACCTCCTTACGTTGAGATATTACGCCATAAAGACAATTTTACGAATAGAATTTAAACAAATACTACCGGCTAAGCTGTGCACTTTGTAAGTGCCTCAAGAAACTTTTAAAGTAAAACAACCATTATTCAACTGCACTTGAGTGGCTTATGAAACCTTTTTGAAGAAAAATAATCATTATTCGACTGCATTCGAATCTCCGAAGAACTGTATTCGCATTATTTCTTATTCAACCTATGCATGTATTTATAGTTTCCATGTGCACTTATAGATTTATTAAGTCACTATAAAGCCTTAGGCCTATTACCTCGTTACATAGATACGTTTCATGTGTAAAAAGAAACGACAACATAAGTGAGCAAATAAGTCAGTCAGACGACTGCCCATAGACTTCGTATTTATCGATTCCTACCAACAACAAAATAAGTATGAGTTTAGCAGTGCGATCAATTTTCTTCTAAAAGCATTCGAGCAATCACCAAAGGATCTCACGCTCAGTGGTAACGCTTTCCAATGTCTAACAACATCAACAATAAGAGATCGTTCGGCTGATGATGAACAACAGTCGTTCCTTTAAAAGGCATAGGGATCAAGATTCAATGATTTTGTAGGGGCAGATAAGCAACCCAAATTTTAGATAACCGGGAAAGTATGACCAAGGGACATGTTAGAGTCCTTTAGTTTAAATGCGTTGGAAAAGCTTTCTTTTATCACCATTTCACTCAAAGAAAAATATCCCATTGCTCTCATTGTTTTATTTATCTCTCTCAAGAATATTGCAATGAGAGTGAAGCTCTTGTCTGCTTGGTAAGCACAAACACACACTGTACAATGTACTTAGTT